GGAACCTGTTACAGACTAGGACGTGGGTCCGGGCCTACCTGGACGGTTTGGGGAAGGTTCTTCACCGACAGGTAGATCCAGATGCTGAGTTTCAGAGGAAGGATGTCCTGCCAGTGCGGTCGCTCCTGGTTCCTATGACAACAGGAGTCGACATGAATCCAAGCGGAACACGGGCGGGGCGCTGGTGATGATGTCACAGCCGTACCTGTCCACGCGGTCCAGTCCGATACCTCTGACCTCCTCGGCGGGTCTGGAGCTCATCTTCTTCTTCTTCTCCTTTTTCTTGCGCCCCAGCAGCTCATCCTGGAAAGAGAGCTCAGGTCACATGACACACAGCGAGCAGATGGGCTTCCTCGCCGCGCCGATCGCTGCCTCACCAGCTGTTTCTCCAGGTAGATGGACCAGATGATGGCGTAGTGTCCCACGGTGAGGATGAGGAAGAGCAGGAAGCCCAGCTCAGCGTTGCTCATCTTCCTCACGCGGCGGTAGTAGAAGACGGGCTGCCTCCAGTCCGGCAGGCCGTTCAGCAGGATGTCGTCGTACCTGTGGTTAAAAAATACCTGCTGATTCAGCAGAGGGACGCCCCACCCCCGCATCCACGGGTCCTACCTGCGCCGCCGCTCCTCGTCTTTCAGAACCTCATAGATGGCCACCAGCTGAAACCAAGACAAGGATTAGCTTCAGGGTCAGCCGGCGGGTTCTGGTTCTGGGCGGGTGGCTCACCTGTCTGAACTGGGTCTCAGCGTTGGGGTCCTTGTTCTTGTCAGGATGCAGCGTCAGAGACAGCCGCCGGTACGCCTTCTTAATGTCTGCCGCCGCCGCGTCCTGGGGGACACAGGAGAGGGACAGGTGAGGAGGAGAACGTCTCCATCTGCTGAGGTTCCCCTGTTAGGGCTCCATTAGATCTGGACCAAACATCAGAACCCATCCACAGAACCAAGAGGAGCAGAACATGTGCTCCCATTCTAGGTCTGCTGGATCTATGCAGGCAGGTCAGAACAAGCTGAGAAGGTGTTCTCCCTCATCTACAGCGTTAAACTGTTAGTTCACAGAGGAACCTTAAAACACTGCATGCTAGAAGGAACCAGAGTGGGAACGGTTCTACAGCTGGAGATCTGGAGGGAGACAGGGATCCAAAAGGAACCTAACAAAACCCAGCAGGAACCAGCAGAACCCAGGAGGAACCAGCAGAACCCAGGAGGAACCAGCAGAACCCAGGAGGAACCAGCAGGAACCAAGTAGGAATCCAGGAGGAACCAACAGGAACCAGCAGGAACAACGAAAACCCAGCTGGAACCAGGAAGAACCAGCAGGAACCCAGGAGGAACCAACAGGAACAATGGGAACCAAGCAGGAACCAGCAGTAACCAGGAGGAACCATGAAAACCCAGCAGGAACCAGGAGGAACCAGCAGTAACCAGGAGGAACCATGAAAACCCAGCAGGAACCAGGAGGAACAAGCAGAAACCCAGGAGGAACTAGCAGGAACAATGAAAACCTGGCTGGAACCAGGAAGAACCAGCAGGAACCCAGGAGGAACCAACAGGAACAATGGGAACCCAGGAGGAACCATGAAAACCCAGCAGGAACCAGGAGGAACAAGCAGAAACCCAGGAGGAACTAGCAGGAACCAGCAGGAACAATGGGAACCAAGCAGGAAGCAGGAGGAACCATGAAAACCCAACAGGAACCCAGGAGGAACCAGCAGGAACCCAGGAGGAACCAACAGGAACAATGGGAACCAAGCAGGAAGCAGGAGGAACCATGAAA